TATTTAATCCTTTTAAATTATAAAAACAAAGAAATTAGAACTAGCTTTTATTACATACCAGATTCAATGTTAGGTGGTATCACATTTCTCATAACCCTTATTTTACCAATAAGGAAATATGAATCTCTGAAATCTAAGATTTTCCCAATGCTTTCAACATAGTAAATCTTTTTACCATAAACCACTAGGTTTCTAGAGTGTTTTAGTCAGTTTTCTCCTTCCTATGACAAAAAGACCTGACAAGAACAATTTTAGAGAAGTTTCAGAGGTTTCAGTTTATAGATGTCTGGCTCCATGGCTTTGGGTCCAAGGTGAGATAGAACATCATGGTGGAAGAGGAAAGCAGCTCAGGACATGGCCACCAGGAAGGGGAGAGACGGGGAAGGGGAAGGGGGGGAGGTAGAGATAGAGAGAGAGAGAGAGAGAGAGAGAGAGAGAGAGAGAGAGAGAGAGTGTGTGACGGGAAGCTTGGCTCACCAGGGACAAAATATATACCAGGCACATCTCTTGCAACCCACTTCCTCCAACCACACCTTACTGCCTATAGTTAATTTCTTCAAAGGATTAATACACTGATTAGGTTAAGGTTCTCATAACCCAATCGTTTCACCTCTAAACTTTCCTGCTTTGTCTCTCACATGAGCTTTTGGGGGACACCTCACATCTAAACCATAACATAAGTAATAAGTTTCAGTGAGGAAAGGAAAAAATACTCACAGTTATTAAATTGTAGTCTGCACTTGACTGTATACAAGGCAAATACATATAAGCTCTCACTTTGTCCATCACACAAAGAAATCAAGACTTTGACAGGTTCAGTAATATATTCAAAGATGCATGTCTGTGCATGAAGCAAGGAGTTTCATTCAAATGTTTCTTACTACAAGGAATATTCTCACTTCACTGCATCATGCAACAACTTGGGCTATCAGGTAGGCACGTTTATTGGAGATGAACTATTCATAACTGGGAATATTGGTTTGCAAAAATGCAAAACATCTACAGTTAAGGCAAGGACATGGGGAAGGCATATCTTTTTATGTAGATTGAGGAGTAGTGGTGTTCTTCTCATCCTTAAGAGGCAGTCTAAGAATTTCTGAGAAAGTAGTTTAGAAAATATACTACCATCTTCATTTTCACAAAGTAAACATAAAAACTACAAAGAAGTAATACATCCTGCAGGCACGTCTACTCTACTTTCTGAGTACTCCTTCTTTCTCCCTTTAATATGGTATTTTTTAATTGATTTGGGTAATGTGTAAAATAAACTTCAAGTGAGCATTCCCAGTGTGCATGTATCAGACACAGTCCTTATGTGAAATGTATACTATTTGTAAGGTTTTGCTATTATCATTGTATGTTAGTTATAAATCAAATATTTTAGCTTTTGCATTCATTTAATTAGCAAGTATGATGTATACCTCCTCTGCAGGCCATGGTAGAGGGTTTCCTAAGAAATTATTTGTACCCTAAACTCTTACTAAAGTAACTATCTCTCAAGTGCTCTAAAGAATTTATCACTCAGTATTCAGTCTTTTATCAAAATTCTAGTTTCCACGACTTTGAGAATTCCTTGTCAGCCAGTCTGACAGATCCTATCTCTCTGACTACAAATGTGTCAGGATAAATATAATTGCACATTCAGATTTCTGGAAAACTTTTCACAGGCTTTATCTTGTTTAAAAACGACTCCAATTGAATTTTGAAAACCATCACCTCATTAGAAAAAAATAGTATCCCTTTATGATATGCCTTTTCCTTTATCTTTGATCTATTAGCATTTTGTTCACAAAGAACAGCCTGCAGTATTCAGGTTTTCTGCTGGGCATGTTAATAAATAGTTCATGGGCTTCCCAAATTCTCTAGGTTTTGTTTTTCAAATTTCATAAAAAGCTACTCTTCTATTTGACAAACATTTTCAAACACTGCTACAAAATATCAGGGCTTGCATCTTGCAGGGAATATCTGTCCCTTTGAATTCCCCTGTAACTGAAATGCAGGATTTTGCCATTACCCACTATTTGGAATATGAATTTATTTTTTAGATCTAACAAAACTCTAATCTATGGATGTGTCAGAACATTGGTAGGGCAGAAAGCTTCTAGGGGGGTCCCTCTGATTTAATTATCTTCCCAGCCTGGACTCTATGTTGTCCCATTTTTTCCAATAGTTGAAAAAATAAAGTGAACGAATAGAAATAAGAACTAGAAGGACTGGGTGGAGATAAAACAAAAAGTGCATAAGGAAAAGATACTCAAAGTGTCCTCGGATGCCCTCATTTGTGAATGTAAATTGCAGATCAAATAGACCAGGTAAGTAACTGGGGTGGGATAGAAACCAGATATTGACAGATGAGTGACCACTTCCTTCCTGCCTGACTACAGTTGTTAGTAAATGACTAATTTTTCTTTCCACTTAGAAATTATGGCTATAGATGGTTTCTGTAGAGAATGGATTGGACACACGAGAAACCAGCCATAGTAGGGAACATTCCATAGCCACCAGACCATAGTGGAATGCAAAGGATAATTCCGATTGCTCTTTGTGAAAGCTTCATCATCCTGTCTCATTCTGCCCGAGGTGTTCATTGTTAGGGCAGACCTCATCTGTTCAGTGACAGCAACTGAGTAGCCCTTGGATTCTGTTGAATCACATTTTCTATCTTCTGGAGAATTGTTGAGTCACAATGCCTTCAGGTAGGTCATGTCCTGTCTGGTTAGATTGGCCCTTATGGTTTCTTGCCTGTGTCTACTAGCAGCTCACCACATTCCTATTACCTTCTTGGCCTTGGGGGCATTTAGGTTTAGCCCTCCTGCCTCATTTAGGCCATGGCCCTCTCTCTCAAAAACATTTTGTATATCTTACAAACTCCTCAGAAACCACCAATTCACAAATGCTTTCTCCTTTTCTGGATGTTTTCATTCATCACCTTTGGGCTTGCTTTGAACCAGGCATACTCTGCTAGAGCTTTCTTGAGGATACAGATGTATTTGAGATGTTATCTATACGAGGTGAGAATGTAGTGGGAAAGGCAAATGTACTAGTCTCCAGAATGACAATGGGGTAGCTGAAGGGCTATCCCTAGACAGTGAGAGGGAGAGAGAGAGAGAGAGAGAGAGAGAGAGAGAGAGAGAGAGAGAGAGGAGAATTAGCTGAGAAAAGAAGTGGTTTGTGCCTACAGAATCCATATTTGCTGTTCAAGTTTCAATTCTATGTAGCTGATATCACAACCACATAGTGAGATAGGGTGGGATTCACTCCAGCCCCATTGTCTCAATCAGCTACAGGCAAAAATTAAGTTTAATTGAACATCTCCTCATAGGGGAATTGGTGATTGTATGAAACTTAAACATGGCATCTGCTGTCTCTTAATTTCCAGAATTTTATAGGACACTCAGTTTTCAAAATATCTTGAACCAAAATGCCAAAGGCTGAGCTTTGTTTGAATACAAATTTCAAACTGTCTTTTAGCTGGATGTCTTGATGATCACTGTCCAATACAGATGTAATGAGAGTTATAAATGTGATCCTAAATTTCCTGGTAACCACATTAAATTTAAAAAAAAAACACAATAAATATATTTTATTTAATATATAAACATGTTATTATTTCATTAAATTATATAAAATTATACTAAAAGATATTTACATTTAACTTTGCATACTAAGTCTTTGAAATCTAGTGGGTATTTTACACTTAAGATACATTTTCATCCATACTGGATTCATTTCAAGTGTTCAACAGACACATGTGACTAGTAATTACTGCATTGGACAGAGAAGTTTGAAAATTTCTTCAGAGCTTCTTCAAATATCTTGGAACATGTGTGCATGTTATTAAATAAAATGTTAGGCATAAATAATCTAGCAATTTTATTCCTTTAATGTTTGGGGTTTTGGAAATAATATATTTGCTAGATGATTGACATTTTTATTCAAGTAGAAAATTATTTCCAGTAGTTCTTTCTTAATCATGATCATTTAGCTCACCATGAACTTATTTCAACAAGAGGTTGCTAGTTTTATAATTAAGGCAAATGTCTCAGCTGAGTAGCAATTTATTTTTTTCTCTATTCTATGTAAACACATAATGTCTGGTATTTTTTACTTAAAAAAAAGCTTCATTATAATAGAATGCCTACTTAGATTTCATTTGATAAACTCCTTCCTCCTGCAAAAATATGCTGAATTTAATTAAATAATAAGTCCCCCAAAGTTTCTTGGTTCTTTCCTAGTGTTAGGATTAGTATCAAATGCTGATTCATGAACTAGATTTCATAATGATTGGTCCAATAAGGGAAACTATTTGTTCAGTCAATAATTCACTTCTAAACTTCGCATTGTTGCATTTCATTTTCTTGATCACATGCCTTCAGCCTTGACTCGCATGTTGTGTGAATAATAATTTTTACCAGGGAACACCATCATGGTACTCTAGTTCTCTTAAGGAGAACCACATTTAGAAGAGTCTTTGGGGTCTTTACTGAGGTGGTGTTTGGTTTCTATATTTGTGTTTTAGACACATAAAATATTAATAAATCTGTTTAGCCACTCACATATATTTAGATCTCAGATATGGTACACATCTTAGGTTAACAAATAGATCTATAGATCTATAGATCCCATGCGGTTTCACTTGGCTATCCTCCTTAACGCAATCACCCAATCAACTAAGAAGAGTGGTAACCTGACGTTCCACATACAAATTTACAGAACAGCTCCCTGGAAAACTAGTATATGCAAAGCTAAAGTCAGTAATGTGAAAATTATAACCTATTTGATCTATAGCGGAAATTTATGGGGAGAAGAATGCTATTATTCCCATTTTTACAATATGCTAAGTGCCTTGCCCTATCACACATAACTAGTAAATAGTTGGGTAAGTATCACCTCACACTGCCTTTTCTACAGACGCTTGTAATAAAACCCACACAATTCTTGGCTTTATTTTTGCTGAGCTTTTCTAAGGAAGCTGAAAGGACCAGAAGAGTCCATTATTGCATGAAACACAGGAAATATTTTATTAGTTTACAGTGGAGAAAATAGTAAAATATTTCAATAGAAATCTATAACCCTCCGCAAAGAGCCCACTCGGGCACTCAGGGCGCCCCAGTCGACGTAGCGCCTGTACTCCCCCGGCGTCAGCAGGTACTGTCGCCCCAGGTAGTTGGGCAGCTCATAGAGGACCCAGTAGCCCTCTAGCACGTGGAAAGAGTGGATGTCACTGAAGTGGAAGCGGTCCTGAAGAGAGGAGCAGTCCTCGGTGATCTCTACCATCTGGCCCCTGTAGTCCTCTCGCTCATAGATTCTGATCCTGTGAGAGCTGGACTGTGGACCCAGCAAGAGCAGACGAGGGGGACATCAGACAACCTGACCGCATTTTTGCAACCTATCACACCCGCCCCTGGGTATGGGTACTTCTTTACTTTTCCATAACAAAGGTGACCAAATTAAGAGACTGCCCAAACCAGCACCTCTACAAATGTGAAACTCAAGAGGGCGCCATCCACCATTCCTTTGACAGGAACCATGCTCAGGACCATTTTGAAGTAATCATTTGTATGTATTTGTTTTGTTCTTTCTGTCTTAGATTTGTGGTGGTCTAACTAAGGCTTTCCTTGCACGACATACAAAATAGTTAGACATTAGAGTAAAAAGACAAATACACCTCTCGCAAAAGGCATTATTTTGAATCTCAGAGAGGAAGTCAGATTGCCTTCAAGAGGCACAGACTGGCTGCAACTCAGGAAGAAAGCTCAGCCCAGGCAGCCCTGCTGTCCCTTTCTGTTTCAGGAAAACAAAAGTATCTCAAGATTGGGCTTGGGTTCCAGGCTCTAACATAGGCTTCTACTAATCAGTTTCAAAAACTTAAGTTCAAGCTCATGAAGGAGGCCTGTACAGGGTCAAAAGTATAGAATTTTTAGAAACATGGAGGTGAGGCTGTTTGGGCTGAGCAAAACCTCTCTCTTGAGCTCCTGCTCTTCCTGCATTTGCTTGTTTCTTCCCAGCAGGGACCTGTTGTCTCAGTGTCTTTCTTCTTCGTCCTCAAGGAAGGATTCTCATAAACCACTCAGTATGAGGTATAACTGATTGCTCATAAGGTATCTTCCCTAGGGTTAGTGTTTTATGGCTTGCAAAGAACTCACCTGCGTGCAGCCAAATTGGATCTGTACGATAGCCTGGCATGTGTGAACTACCATTATAAGCCCGTCTTTCTTTTATAAGAAAATGAAGTCCAGAGCTTACAGCCTGGAGTCACAAGTCAGGATTAAAAAGTGGAAATTTCATAAATGACTTTGTTTTCTCTAATTAGGAGGGTAGTGACCAGATCTGAGGTCAGAATGGGGCCGCAGCAGGGGGTATTTTGGCTAAACAGCATTTTTTTCATGTGAAAATATGGGACCTAGGGAAGAATTTACTTTCTCCACAGGGTGCTTAAAGAAGGACCTGATTTTTCTCTAAAGGAACCTCACTATGATCCTATGTGCTGATAAGCAGGGCGATCAGATAGGGTGCTGGGTGTTTAGGCTCCTAATTGCATTCTAGGTCCTATCTGGGTATTATACACTTTGAGGGGTTTCAAACTTCACAAAAGTAGTTCATTTTCCATATTAGAGAATCCACTGTGGAATTCCTGGCTCTGGGACTTGATTTGGATAACAGAGGGCTCTCCAGGAGCTCTGTGAATCTTGCTGTTTCCTTGTTTGGTCTTATCAAAAGGCCAGAGAACCTTGATGTTCATAAGAGTTAATTCTAACCTGGGAGGGAGGGGCCACTCGCCAGGTGTCAGGTAACCTCCTTTCATCCTTATCTTGAACCTCCTTTTCTCCCGTATTCGCCATCTGAAGAAAGTAAGAAAGGGCCATGTAACCAGCCTAAAGGCCAATTGATGGCACAAAGTTATCTATTGCCCATTCATACCCTGTGGCCAATACGTTCTGAATTAAACCTTGCACTAGTATTCCCAGTAGAGTGGAATTTGATTTAGCAAAGTAAAAATAAACTGTCCAGTTAAAAGCTTTGCACATATACTTTCCAGTGGAAGAAAACCTTGAAGATGTTAATAAACAGAGAGCGACTATAGTTATGGCCAGAAAGAAGGCGACAGCCATCCCACCCTTAGTCCATGGTGTGGACAACATGTCTGGATCACTGGATCACAGGGCAGGAAGGGACCCGGGAACCGGACTCACGTGGGGGATGAGGCGGCAGGAGCGGACGGAGTCGCTGAGGCCCATCCACTGCTGGTAGTCGGGGTAGTCCCCGCGCCGCAGGAAGTACTGGCCGCCCAAGTAGTTGGGCTGCTCATAGAGCATCCAGCAGCCGCTGTCCACGCGCACCGAGTTGCAGCGGCTGAAGTAGGGCTGCAGGTTGGAGTGGTCGCTGCTGCACTCATAGTGGCGGCCCTGGAAGCCCCTGTCCTCGTAGAAGGTGATCTGCAAGGCAAGGCCAGTCACGGGCTCAGAGGCCTGAGGCGGCGTCGGGTCCCCGGGTGCCAGCGCCCCTCCCCGGGCCCGGGGCGCCCTCCGGGCTCACCTTCCCCATGGCTGGTGGAGGCGGACCGTGCGAGCTCAGTGTGTGGGGCCGCGGCGGGCGGTCTATATAGTGGAGGGCTGCTGCGTTGGCAGAACAGCACAAAAGGGGCCCGCGGGGAGCAGGGGCATGTCTCTCTCTTTTCTATAGAATGACCGTGTGTGTGTGTGTGGGGGGGGTGTTGTTGTATGTTTTCTCTTAGAATCTCCAGAGCTTTCGAATTGATGACCTGGTTAGCAGTGTCACTTGATGTCGCTCGGGCCTTTAAATGAAGCCTGACTGGGAAACGGAAATTAAGATGCTTAACGAGTTAATAACTGAAATTAAATATTTACTTTTTAAAATTTCAAAATGACTTCGTTTTCCGTAATAAGCAGCTAGTAACAAGGTCTGATGTTAGAATGGGCTACAGCAGGGGGCCTTTAGATTAGAGAGTGGTTTTTGTTTTTGTTTTTTTGTTTGTTTGTTTTTTTGTTTTGTTTTTCCATGTGAAAATGTGGCACCTGGGGATGAATTTACTTTCTCCACTGAATGCTTAAGGGAGAATGGGGTTTTCCTCCAAGATAACCTTGCTGTGATCCTATGTGCTGATAAGCAGAAGGATCAGATAACTAATGGAGAGGCGGTGACAGGAGGTTGGCCAGGAGGAAGCCACAATCTTGCAAAGCTTGAGCTTTCTCTGTTCTCCCAGCCCTGGGGCAGATCTTTTTGGCTCTCTAATTCTGGCTCCAGGGCTTGGAGTTTTCCCTACCCAGCTTCCTCCAGTAGTTCTTGGTGCTCCTTAAAGCCAGCTTTCTCCACACCAGTGCTATTGTGCCATTTTAGGCTGAAAATTCTCTGTGCCCTGACCTGGGCATTGTATGATGTTAACCAGCATCCCTGGCCTCTCCCCACAAGATGCCACAGTAGCATACCCTTCAGTATTCCCAAGTTATGACAACCCACAATGTCTTCAGACATGGCCAAATGCCCACGAAGCAAAATTAACCTCTGTTGTGAGCCACTGGTCGTATGTAGCATGTAGTACTAGTTTAACGGGCACACCCTTTGTTTCTCCACTGCACTCATCAGCTGGTGTGTAGACTGTGTATGGGGAACTGCAGAAATTTCTCAGGAATGTACTAGAGCCACTCAGAGTGCTAGACAGAGGAAGAGAGGGGAATGCTACTGTTCATGCCCCCAACTCCAGTCAGAGCATTTTTTGTATTTTATACAAAATCTTACTTGAAAATGGAACTTTATTATTTGATAATAATGTTTTAAAAATAAGTATATTAAAACCAGTGCTGTTAGCTGTCATGTCTTTTATGATACCCTTAAAAATACAAATACATTATCTACTCACTATATTACATAGTGACATTGTCACCTTTTACAGATGTTAATGTGAGTTTCCTGGGATAGCTAGGTATTTCCTTGTGAAAAGAAAGATCTTAGTAGAAAGAAAGAGAGATCTAATAACTTTTGATGTGATATGATAAAGTCTGGAAAAGTGGGGTCAGGACACTATGCCACAGAGAACAATAATGAGGGTGATACCATATGGAAGGTCCTGGACATACAGGGATCAGCCTATAAATGTGGGCCCAGGAAAAGCTGTGAACTGCTGGCAAAGAGCTGTGTTCATAAAGGGTCTTTGACAAAGTCACCACCTGATCTAGATGCTGACTTCAGTTTGGGGCTTTGTATTAAAGGTTTCTAAATAGTTCTTTCTAGCCATATTTCAAGATGAATTAATGAACTATTGGTTTATTTATTTTAAAAAAAACTATTGATGATTAATACAATTATTTGTGGTGCTTTTAAAATTCAACTACACGGGCCTGGGGCTGTGGCTCAGAGGTAGCACACTTTCCTGGCATGTGTGAGGCACTCACTGAGTTTGCTTCTCAGTACCACATATAAATAAATAAAATAAAGGTCTATCAACAATTAAAAAAATATATATATATGTAAAAAAAAAGCTCAACTAATCTTATAACCTTTAAAACTTTGTGCTGAGCAGATTTCTTTTATTTCTTTTTTAATTTATTTACTTATATTGGAAGTTAAACCCAGGGCCTGACACATGTTAGGCAAGTGCTCTACCATTGAGCAATATTTCCAGTCCAGATTTCTTATTAAATAAAACTTCATAGGAAACTGAAAACAAATGTCATCACTCTGTATATTAAGCAATAGTGAGGTCAAAACTTTTTTCCCTTTATGAATAAAAAGAAGACAACAGTGTAGGAAACAGTGAGCACAGATCTGAACAGGAATATAATCTATTTTTGTCCTCTTTCTGAAAAGCTTTACTAAAGAACGCTTTCCCTCCAAGCTCTTTGACGGAGTGGAGGTGGAGAGTCCATCAGAAAATGATGCAAGGTAGAATGAAGGATTGAACCACTATTTAATAAAGAATGCATTACTGAGTGTGTTTTTGGCAAGAGAATAGGAAAAACCCAAATCACCAGTTTCTCCAAACTACTTTCTCCTAAAGGCTAATAGCATGTTTTCCCAAAAGGAGTTGACAAAACTTACTTCTTCCAACTGACTGTTTTGTTATTTGAAATTTTGATCAATGTAGAGCTCTTTATTCCCAAGACAAGATCCAAATAATAAATTTACTGGTATCTGTGTTCCTTTGTGGAGCCTTTTCACGTCGTTCTAACAATAAAATATTTAAAGGCAACACATTATGTTTCTATTCTAAATCACATGCCGTACAGTAAATTTCTGTAATTGAATTTGTCTCAATAAGAGGCAGCTGCAATTCCCTAACACTGACCACAGAAATGTACCCAGGTTCTCAAAGAAGATTGGTAAATAAATACAAAGTGTTATTAGGATGAATATTAATTTTCTGAGGCAGAAAAAGTAACTCTGTCCATCACAGGTCTCTTCCATTAAGGCCTTACATTACAATCCATCTTTGTATTTAATGTAACTATTTTCTTTTAATAAATTTGTAGCATTCATACTAACAGCAAAAAATAGTTTGAAGGCAATTCATTTTTAAAGTAGTTTGTGATAGGAGTTGTGCAATTCAGATTATACAAAAATGTACAAAACATTTGTCATTCATTTTACCATGCTAAATACAAGTAAAATTTGCAATTTCAAGACAAGAGGAAAGTAGAGATATATTAGATCATATAGATTTTTAAGATATATTCTGTTTTATATATGTGTATGTGTTAGAGATATATATGTGTCTGTTACATATCTTATATATATATATATATATATATATATATATATATATATATATATATATGAAAAGAACTCTAACTCAAAAATATGAGGAAAAGAAATAAAATTACAATTAAAGTTTAAGATTACTTTTGTGTTTTAAAATTGCTAAACTTTTTTCCAACAAAGAGATTAAAGTGTATACCATTTTATCTGTTTTTAAATAATTTTGTAAAAATAAGAGGAAAAGAAAATTTTAAAAAGTACTCAAGGAAAAGTAGTGGTTATTTTTGTTTGTTACTGGAACAAGTTTAGTCTTTACCTTTCTTTATTATAGCAGACTTCTGGCTAAAATAAATTAATTGAGGCCCAAAGAAATTAAATGTAAGTACACAAATGTTTTATAGAGGTTATGATTCATATCCTGCTCTCCATTTTTTTGTATGGTTGTCATTTCATGTCCTATGAAGCACCATCTCTTTGACAAAATGTAATTAAAAAAATATCTAAGAATATTGTAACCCAGAGAAAATGTTTGTCTATGTTTCTTTCTCTAAAAGCCTTTCGTAAATCAACACTAGGTAATGCAAATCTGATTTCTCAGTAAAATTTAGTCTGCTATTTTTTCTAAGAGAAATGAAAAACAGGAATATAGTTGACCTAGATATCTAAAAAATAGACTTTTATTTACTATAGTAAAATAAAAATAAAAAAACATTGTCTGCTAATTTTTTAAAGGCTAAATCCTAAAATTAAGAAAATATTACTAAGATGCTCTAATGGTTTTGTAATATATTTTAAAACATTTGGACTGTGATGTATTTTAGTGTATTAAATGCCTTTAACATATAATTAGTTCTATAACAGTAATTAACTCACAAAAATTTATTGATTTCCTTTTCTGCAAAATGAGGGTATTCAGGGTATTCAGTGTAGATATCCCAGTGTTTTTAGAGGTCATATTTAACACAAAAAAAATCTATTCATTTCTTGTTCCTACTAAAAAGGTAAAAATAAATATCAGCAGGTACAACAATAGACTGGTTTTATGATCCTTTTATTTTTCTTAACTGGAATTTAGTACACCAGAAAGGAATATATTAGAATTGCCTGATTTTTCAGATTACTACATAGTTTAACAGGTAAGTCAATTGTTTGCTTGATACAAATTACATTAGCATAGAACTATTGCTTCTTAGAGAAATTCTGTTCAGACTCTCATCATCTTAGTGAATGTTGATAATTATACTACCTCATCTTATAAAATAGCAGTCTTGAGTAAAGTAATTGAATATTTCTTTTCACAGTTTTACCCTCATTAATATCTAATTTATAATTTTTTTTCAAACATGGTCGTCTTCCTATTATTCTCTTTTAAAACCAGCTTTATTGAGGCATAATTGATATACAAAGAACTCCAAATATTTAGCATGTTCAATTTGATGCAGTTAGATATGCACAAGCACCTATAACATCATCACACACTCAAGGTAATAGACATATCAGCTCCTCCCAAAGTTTTCTTGTACCCTCAGTTCAATTGGAGAAGGATGCTGAGCTTCTATGTTTGGGTTGGTCCTACATTTTCAAGTATAGGAGAAGAAAAAAACATTTGAGCAAAAAGTTTCTTGGCTGATTCTTATATAAAAGTAAATAACATGTTTCATTTTATTTCTTTATTTTATGGTGGCAGAGATTGAACCTGGGAGTGCTTAACCATTGAGACACATCCCCACCACTTTTTGTTTTGAGGCAGGTTTCCTGTAAGTTGCTTAAGGCCTTGATAAATTGCTGAGGCTGGCTTTGAACTTGCAATCCTCCTGACTCAGTCTTCTGAGGCATTGGGATTATAGGCATGTGCCATTGCACCTGGTCATGT